CTCTTTGATTCATCAAAGAAACAAAATACTTTTGTTTCTAAAATGAAGTCCTTTCTTAAAAAACCTCCCAACAACACTCATAAGGCTTAATCCTGTAAAATAAGTAGAGGTAACACAGGGGAGACACAGCCCTCCTTGGATTAAGTGAATGGATTAAATTAATGAATGAAGGACAAGTTGATTTTCTGGGCACCACCGAAAATACTGGTAACAATGGCATGGTATTTTGCAGAACAGAGAAATGCAGTCACCCATACATCACAAAGTGATACGTTTGCTATTTGTTCATAATAAATCACAAATTAATGTAATCTTGTACCATAATTATAATACTATACTTTAGAAAGGCATGATACTGTGATAATTTAGACACTAATTTAAGTAGTAAGAGCCCTGCCAAACTCTATAATTTTAGAGCATCAGGTCAACAAAAGCAAAAATGGCAAGATATGATTTTGAAAGGTTTAGAAAAACCTCAGTGGAATAGCTGTGAATCCAGATTTCATTTAATACAAACCACTAAAGCCTGAGGAGAAGGGGAGTTCCTTAGGATGGCCCTGGTTTTGGCATGGTGCTTGGTGTTTGAACAAGACAATTGGAATATGTGTTTTCCTGTAACAAACACGACATTGGCACAAATTTTGAAGACAGAAAAAAAACAGACACCACATTTGGGGTCCATATCTCACTGGCTGGTATAATGGGATCAGACAAGGGATCATGGTTTGAATCAATCTTTACAATACATGGCAAACTGTGCCTATGCATGAATGAATATAGCAGAGTTAATTAAAAAATCTGCTTGCTAAACTTTGGATATTTTGTTCTTCCTTTTATACGTATTTATCATTTAAAAGGTTCCTTTGTGCCATGTAATGTGGATGTAGATAGAGAAGGAAGTTTGTTTTGTTTAATTTGCTGTGGTGAAACAACTCTAAGAGTATGTCTGCTTCAAAAGCAGACTATTGTCACTATTGCTACGATTACTAACTATGGTGAAATGCCCTGGATTTATATGAGGAATATGGCACTGGAATCAGCAGTATTTCCAAAAGTACATAATTATTTTTAGAGATGATCCACACAAGTCCACTTCAAGAACCACTGGATTACAAAACCTGAGTCTTCACTATATTCTGACATTCAAAGGTACTAAGCACAAACCTCCTGAGAAGATCCAGTGTCACACCTGCTCACAGATTTTGTTGTTAAAAGTTTTTAAAAGCAAGTAATAAATTAAGAATACCCCTACAGAGCATTCAGTGTGTTTCGTGTAGTTTGAAAGGATAGGAAAAGGTCAAAAATTTTAAAAAAATAATAAATTTTCTACGAAGTTCCCTCTAAAGTTAGCAACTTAATTTAGAAGCACTGAACAAATAACTGAATTACAGAAAGACATGTAACAGCTAGAAGTCATAAAGAATAAAATTAAAATACAAATTTGTAAAAGTCATAAACCCCATAAGATTTGAGGAAATGTAATGAAACTGTGTCAGCAGAGATTTAGATTGGATATTAGGCAGAAGTTCTTCACCCAGAGGGTGGCTGGGCACTGGAACAGGCCCTGAGGGAAATGATCACAGCACCAGCCTGACAGAGTTGAGGAAGCATTTGGAGAATGCTCTCAGGCACATGGTGTGATTCTTGGGGTTCTCCTGTACAGGGCCAGAAGCTGGACTCAGTTATCATTGTGGATCGGTTCCAAATCAGGGCATTCTGTGATTGCATTCACTGATTCCTTTTGTCTGAATTAAGACACAAATCCTATCTTGAAGTTAAATACATATATATGTATAATGTGTGATATGGATATTGTCACCCTGATTCTTAAGACTTCCTAAAGCCTTCTGAGTTTACATTCCTTTGGAGAACTTTCCCACACAATTTCTGTAAACAACATATTGTTTACATTCTTTTATGGGGGTGGAGAACACTTGATGTACTGGTGGTTTGTCCAATGTCTTTGGAGAGGTGGCCCATTCACTCTCCAATCCAATGTCACCCTTGGGAAGGTATAAAAGACAGAGTCAAATAATAAACAGCCTTTTTTACCTTGAAAGCAGCAAGTAGTCCGCGTTATGCTTTCACGTGTCCCACAGCAACAGGATATGACATGATTTGACCTCATTACTTACCCCTTATTTCAGAGGTAATTATTTAGTACTTCTGAAAGTGCCTTCATCACAAGCGCAGTTGTTTGGACAGGCTTCTTAAAGGTGAGGTGCAGGGAGCCAACATCCAGCAACAGAACTGCTCTGAGAGGCCTAAAGTCCCAAAATTACTCTTTCAACTCAGCAAATCCACCAGTTCAGATATGCCCCATCTCCGTTTTCCATTTTATGCAGTCAATGAACACAGTTCTTACTGTGCTTGAGGCAGGGAGCATACTACATCTGAAATACTTTCCAAATACAGTCATCACCTTTTTGCAAAGAGAATTGTTCAGCTTTTGAGACAACTAAAAAGCCCTGAATTACCTTTTCTGCACCCTTGGCTTCTGTGTAAGAATAAGTAGGATTGACACAAAAAACCTCTGCTAAGCTTTAATCTCCTGTTGACAGAACTGTCATACTCAGTCAAGTACATTCAATGCAGATAACAATTTGGACTCTATAAAATACCAATGCTGATAGTTACAATTTTTAGCTGTCAGATTTTATTCCTCTACCAGAAAACTGTTTTCTACTAAAAATGTTAAGTGGTTCTCTGAACTATAAATAGAAAAAAGTGAAACAGGAAGATACCATGGACAAAGCTGCAATTACAGAAGGTTCTGGTGACAACAGCAAGCTCTGGAACCTTGCCCTTCTGGTTAATTACGATGTCATCATCCGCTCAATGCTCAGTGTTTATAGGGCTTTACTTCAGGCCCTATCATTTATTCTATATATTAACATCTAGAACTATAACCATGATACAACCTAGTCATTGGAAAAGGCCACAAACCCTGCTATGGTATACCTCAATGCCAGTGCTGCAGCTTTACTGCATCTGAGACAGAACCACAAATAAAACATGGGTTTTAAAACTGAGGAAAGTCAGAAAAGCACTGCTAAGTAGAGGTACTTTGAAGTAACCAGTAGCTCTGTACTTCTTGTGCTGTGCAATTTAAAAAGTGTCTGAAAAGGGTGCAAAGGGTGCTAATTAATTAACTAACACATATCCACTCCACAGCAGGCAACTCATCTTACTGGAGATATTTCTCATTTAGAATATTAAAAGGTATGGACTGAGGCTTCTATTTCTTTTTTCCCATGTTCAAAACCAGAAACAGATGTGGAATATCTGTTTATGATTTCTACTGCAGTGTATAGATCAGGAGGAACTCCACTAAGTAAAGACAGATTACATATAAATTATTTGCCTTGTAAATATTTCAGAGGATGTGGAATTAGAGGCCTGTAAGTTGTTTCAGACCACAAGATCACCCTCTCTCTCTCTAATGTCTCAATAACAAACCTCTCATCTCTATTTCCAAAACGGAAGACATTATTCCCAGTCAGACCTAACCCTGCCCAGAAGCAAACAAATGTTTTTAAAGCTTAAAAAGCATGGCTTTTTTCTTCAAAGTCTCCTATGACTGTGTTAGCTAGCCCATTGCTAGAGAAAATGGTATTTAAAAAGAAAAGCATAGTACTGGAAAGTTAAGTTCTTGCATTTGATAGAATATTAGTTACTGCCCTTGAGATTCTTTCACTTCAGATCCAAGATCTTGAAGATGCCATATTGTGACTTGCTCTATACTATACACTAGCAAACCTCTAAGTAATATTTTAGCAATAGCAAATCCACAGGAAAACCTCTCAACACCAATATATATATATATATTGTTCATATTCAGGCTGATATGGGTATAATTTTTAAAAGTCTAGGTATGCACTTAAATAAATGTATTGATGCAAAAGCATATCTCTGCCTGTGCATAGACAGGACATTGTTTTTCCCTCCCACCTTTCGAAATTTACACTTGAAATATTTTAAAACTCCCTTTTGAAATTTACACTTCAAATATTTTTAAACTATTATATCAGGAGTGAAGACCTGAAACGTGGTTTCTCCTCAGGTGTTTCCCACTTGATACTTGGCCGGGCAGTCAGAGGAAAGGCGCTCGGGCTACTTTGTACAGCCCTGTCCGAGCCAGCTGCGCCGAGAGCCGCCCCTGGGCGCTCCACAGGCGGCGTGTCCGAACGCTCCCCGGAGCCGGCCGTGCCAGCGGCGCCCGTGCGAGGGGCACCTCCCGCTCCCGGGCGGCGCCTCTGGAGCAGCGGCATTCCCGGGGCTCTACGGGCTGTGGGGGCTCCCAGGATGTGGGCAGCGGGGGTTCCACGGCTGCCGTGGGCAGCGGGGGTTCCACGGCTGCCGTGGGCAGCGGGGGATCCACGGCTGCCGTGGGCTGTGGGGTTCCACGGCTGCCGTGGGCTGTGGGGTTCCACGGCTGCCGTGGGCTGCGGGGAATCCACGGCTGCCGTGGGCTGTGGGGGATCCACGGCTGCCGTGGGCTGTGGGGTTCCACAGCTGCCGTGGGCTGCGGGGGATCCACGGCTGCCGTGGGCTGCGGGGTTCCACAGCTGCCGTGGGCTATGGGGATTCCACGGCTGCCGTGGGCTATGGGGGTTCCACGGCTGCCGTGGGCTATGGGGGTTCCACAGCTGCCATGGGCTGAGGGGGTTCCCCCGACGCGAGCCCCCCGGAGCCCCGCAGGCCCCGCGGCGGGCGGTGCGCGGGCGCCCTCTGCTGTCCCGCCGCGGCAGCGCCGCCGCGCGGCCCCGCGGCAGCGAGACCCGGGACACGGGTGGGAAGCACGGCACGGGCCAGCAGGAGCGGGGCCTCGCGGCGGTCGGGAGTTGACAAACAAACACTACCAGGACCTACCAGATAAAATACATATTTTTTCTCTTCAAATTAAAGGGTACGGCTGTTATAAATAAGGGGTGAGAATGCCACTGCATGTGAAAAAATGTATGGACGCACCTATGCGCACGGACATCCTTCTGCCCGCTCAGCGGTACCGCCCGGGAGGCCCCTCAGCCCCGCAGCGGCTCTCTCTGCTCTCTTACCTTGCAGGTGAGTGCATCGGCCTCAAAACATGGCATTCACGCAGTAAAAATATTCAAGCAATCAAGTTTTCTAGGGCTTCTGCTTCTTCCGTACCAGAAAGCAGCCCGAGGGAGTACAAGATACCACATTTCGCCTTAGCCGTGCCAAACCAAACCCGGGCTGGCAGGGCAGCTCCTGCACATCCCCGACTGCCAGAGACGCTGGCTCTCTCCCGGCCCTCGGTCCCGCAAGTCATCCGGGGCAGTTGCCGCACTCGGGTTCGGGCAGTCCGTTGTTCTGATGTTTTCGTGTTTCCTTAATCTTGATAAAGGGACCAGACAAGGAGAATGGTTATGGTAAATAAATTCTTGTCGACTTCAGTGAGGTGGCGATAGTAGCTGGACAGTATCCTGTGTTACCTGAGTACAGAATGAAAATAAACAGCCTACAACCTTCAATCCTGTTTTAAGAACCAGAGTGTTTATGAGACTATGACATTTATGAACCTAAAGAATATTTATGATATTAACCAAAATCAACCAATCAGTCACTTTAGGAAGGCTATATCTGAGATAGTGAAAATCCTGGAACTTTTGAAAAAGAGAATTAAATTATTTCATTGCATCAATTGTCTTAAATAAACAGTACACTAAAATGAGGCCTCATATTAAACACCATCATTTTAATGGTTTTCAACAGAAGGAAATGGAAAACATTGGTGAAATTAACCTGACAGATGAGGTAGGAGAGCTGCAATTTTAGAAGTAATATCCTTCCACAAGATCCAAGAAAAATGAAACAGTCCTGTGTTTTTGTGTAGGCTCCTTATTTTATTTTCTGTTGCTTTGACTGGCAAGCCCAAGTATTTTAGCATGAATTTTATTACTGAGGAAAACAGCACGATTATTTAATGAAGATTACATCAGAGATGCATCTCATACCTTTAATATCATAATATTAACTTAAGAAAAAAGTTTATCCAGCTGTTCTTTCTAAAAACTCAGTAGATCAACAAGAAAATTGTAGCTATGGGTTTTTTCCCATGTTTTTCTGAAATGAGCATTCACAGAAATTAGAATTTCTGCAAAGTATTTTTCCTTCATTAAATCTAAAATTTCTGATGAAGATTCCAGTGAAAAAATATAGACACTAGTCAGAAATATATTCTTCTTCTATACAACTATATCTGTGTCACTATTTTACCATTTTCCTTAATGATGGTTATTGTGATGTGAAATGTTATTGGACCCCATGAACAGAATACTGACGACAAAATGGAAAGGAAATTACAGAAATGTATATTTCTGATTCTTTTGGGTTTTTGAAAATATTTTCCTTCTGAATTGACTGTGTGAATTCTCAAACTTGTTCTTTACACTCCAGGTATCTTTACTTAAAGATTTCAGTCTACCAGAAGGACTGAAATGCAATTTCAGTACAAACCTTTGAATGACCCTTTTTAAAAATACCAGTCTGCTGAACAGTGTCACAGACTTGCCTGGAGGTTGCCATCAAGGATAGCAAATCTCTTGGGAAGCCTGAAATACAGGACACTAGCCAGAGTAAATACTATTTAAGATTCTTCTGATTTGTGTACATGTAATGAGCATTAGAGCAGTTTCAGGGATAGTTATTAAAAGAGAAAGAGTGAGCACTAAGAGGACTCTATTTGTTCCCTGACAGCATTACCTGGAGTTACCTAAACACCAGAGCATGGTTCTATCTTCCAAATTGATTGTTATAGACAGGGAGAAAAAAAATTGTTTTTCTCTTCTATGTAGTCAAAGCATAGAAGGGAATCTGATTATTTCTTCATAGTGGATGCAATCCTTTATCCTTACTAAAACCAGCAATGCAAATGTTTGCTGCAACAGAAAATGTGTTATGAGGTTGTATAATAGCTGCCCACTTCTCACTTAACAGAAATAAAATTATTATAATTCCATGTAAACAGCCTTTCAGTCATATGTCATATTCTAGTTAAGGCTGACCAGCATAGAATTTGATCTGTGCGAGGAGTCCAATGTAACTGGCAGAATTGTCCCAAGAATAACCAATAAGGATTTATGTTGAAAAATGAACAGGGTAGATGTCATCTGCTGGGAAACACAACTGAAAAAAAAGTAAGAACAGGAAATACCTGAACTGCAGGTCCCACGTGACAAAAGAGCAACATTAAAGAATGTTTTTCTTGGCCTTCACTAAAAAGATGCTTTCTCCAAAATATGTTCCTTAATTAAAAGAAAAATACCAGTATTCTCCTGATTTAAGAGAAAATAAATCATAACTGAAACACTACAGACTGCTTGTTTTCAGGTTTGAATTATCTACTTCGTGCATGCAGACAATATGATCCTCCTAACCAGTATTGTAAAGCTTCTTAGCATCGAGAGTATGCCATCAAACAGCAACCTCAGTAACCTTAGAGGCTTTTTGGTCCATGTTTCTGATTTAGGGTGAAGTTGTTTAGTGAGGATTGAAATTTTGTGGGCTCTGCTCAAAGAGAACATAACATTATGCATCCCACACAGGGATTCATGCAAAAATAGATATGTTTACTTCAAACTGCAAGAAATATAAATACTTAAATTCCAAACATTAGAGAACAAAATTAAGTACTTGTGCTCACACTTTCAAGAGGAAAAGAAGAAATAATCACAGTTTACAGGAGGGTCTCTTTGCATCTGCAGTTCAGTTGCTGCAGTCCATCATCTCCACTACCTTTGAAAGTATGCTATTTAAAAAATGTTGAGCCACACTTACAAAGAACTCTGAGTGCTTCCTGTGCTGTCTCCTTGCCTCAGTCTCAACCAGGGCTGGAATCTAATAACTCGGAACTAGTGATTTCCTGGCAGAATATTGTATTTCAGCTTACAATCATTCTTTCTGGGAATTGAGGTAGTGCATTGAATCCATAAGTGTGCAGGCTGGATTCGATCTACTCTAATCCAATGTTTAAAAACAATATTTACCTTACTTTAGTGGAATTTTAGCCATTTCCTTTATTACTTTGATAATACTTCAGAGATAGCTCTAAAACAGGATGGGAAGGAAGAAAAAAAAAGTCTCAGGGAAAATTAAAGAAGTCTATATAAACGTGACTTTTTCCAGCATTCTGATATATGCATGTTCATATTTTTATATGTGTATAATACACAATCTATCATGAAGAAATAGTTTACTGCAAATATTTATATAAAGCATGTTGGCACCAGGGATTGCATACTATTTGACATATTCTGTTCTCGTTATTGAAAAAGTATTGGTGCTTTCTAACGTACTGTTGATAAGAAGGCAACCACAACATTACTCTTCCAGGTTTAGCACTCCAAATCTCCTTCATAAGAGTCAACATGAAGTGCATTTGTATTTTTGTATTCTTATACCAGATCGATGTATATTTAGCAAGCACCAACTTTTTTTCAGCAGTTCCTGAAACCGTTTGACTGGATGCAGCCTGGAGATTCATGCATCTTACCACTGAAAGGATCAAAGTTTGTTGTCACTGTATCTGGTTAACACAGGCAATTATTAAAAGGAAGGAGAAAACTACTTGTGCCAGAACTTAGACCCTTTAATAACTCAGAGTTCTATGTTTAGAACAGAACAAGGAATTACAACACACAATATTTTGAGCTTTATTTCCAGTCATTTTATTCCGTTCAGGATTTCAAATAGAAATCCTAAGCTGCCACAGGTTTTGTTTTTGCATGAACAGTTCTTCCACAAACAGGGCAGAAATTACTTTCAGACAGGAATCATTATTTAAATAACACATTGTTCCACCCAGTAACAAATACACTGGCAGTGCAAGAAAATTAAATTGGGGGGGAAGACTTGGCATATTTCATCAGTTCAATGAATTATGAAATAAAGTTCTAGAGGATCTGCAAACCCAAAACACCACAAAGGTCACTTATCCATAGTTATTTATTCTGCTATGCTTAATGACAAGTTTTGCAAGCAAACCATTTGGTAAGAATTTCATCCTGAAGAAATGAAAATAACAATAATAAAACTCAACAGTTATATAAAATCATATATGTTTAGAGATACACAATTTATGTGATGAGGTTTTTCCTCAAAGAAAAAGCCCTTCAAATTGCTACTGAATGGAAAAGAGAGGCTGCTTAAAGTACTTGGGGTGATTCAAGTTCCCAGCTTTCTCAGGGGTAAAAAAGAGTTCACAGTCATTCCTCAAAATCCAAATAATATAATCAGTCTTAGGTCTCTGTCCAACCTGGGATTCATTTTTTCCTGGCTTCTAATTTTCAACGATGCTCACTTCTCTTCTGCAAAAGAGAAATTCCACCTTCATCTCTGCAGTGCTTACTGGTCTCAATCTCCACATTGTCCCTTTGATCTCACACTTAAAGCCTATTTGAGGCAGCTGCCAACCTGTCCATGTATTTCTGTGGGCAATATGCTTTCATAACACCTGGTTTTGGCAATCGCCTTCAGTAAAGCTGAGGGCTTAATTAGGTCCTACATGGACCCTGATATGTAGAAGATCTACATATCCCCTTACCAGGATGGAAGAGGAATTCTGAAATTAAAAAAGTCATGGTCTCTGGAGTTTTAAAAAATGTGGACTTTGCCTAAATTTTCTATATGGCCACAACTTTCACAAGACATTAAGTAGCAGTGGGTCAATTAAAAGCATGTTTAAGTCTTCTACATAAAGAAATTAAGATCTTCAGAAGAGCTCTGAAGTGAAAGTAGGAAGACTTAACTCATCAAAATTCCTTTCAGTTAGTTAGGAAGTTTTATTCTTATACAAACTTCAGCATTACCACTACTAGAGAGCTCTAGAAGATATAGGAATTAAGGAATACCATCAAGGAAATAAAGCCATACTTTCAGCTATTAACTTAATAAATTTTAACAGTATTAAAGCTCAGGGGAAATTATATTTAATTTCCTTTTGTTCACTACTTTTTTTTTTAAGATAGCATGGAAAGTTATGAGAGACTCGTCCTGACTTTTGGAGCCCCAGTCTATGATGAATCCTTAAACTTATATGTTAGTCTTTTTAACAGACTGCTGCTTTCTTTTTCCTTGTGCTTCAGCATTTCCTGATACCATCAGAGACCACAGGTGGAGCATTGAAATAAAGCAAGAAAGAGCTTTCTCCTGATGAATTGTCCAGACAGACATGACTGAAGAGATGAGCAGCTACCCATATCCTAGGTATGAGGTTTCATTGTTACATTACCCAGCACAGGGGAATTTCATCCAATCTGTTTAATTAATTTTAGTACTTACATTTCATGGTAATTATTTTTCCCCACCTCAATATGTTGTGACCTGAGGATTTTTTTTAAGATGAAAAAATCATTAGAATACTCTCAGTAATATTCTGGGGAAAAAAGAAAAAGAAAAAATTGAGAAACAAATCCTGTATTGTTTAACTATATTATTTCACCAGCATTCCTTTTCCTTCAACCTTTTGGACATTAGGCAGTGTCTTTATTTTAAATTATCTTCATTTAATTATCATCTAAGGGTAATTGTAGCCAAATTGTTTCTTCTGTGGTAATTGCCCATAAAAGAATGGAACAATAGGGTGAAGGAATGGGTCACCCAGCCCTCTTTGACCAAAAAGATCTACCCAAATATTACAACTAGCCCTTCTTTATATTGAGGGTGGCAGAGCACCGGAACAGGCTGCCAAGGGAGGTCACTGAGTCTCCCTGTCTGGAGACATACAAAACCCACCTGGACATGTTCTTGTGTCACCTGCCCAACTCTGCTTTGGAGGAGGGATTGGACTTGATCTTCAGAGATCCCTTCCAAACCTGGATTCTCTGTGATTATGCAGTATCTGAAATACAAGTGTACATTTTTTTCTGTGTCACAGGTTTTTTTTCCCTTAGTTCCAGTGCAAGTAAGTCTTTCAAACCATCTGGAAGGCTGAGAAACAGCTGACAAAGTGAATTTGCTTTCCTGCATAAAATATTTAAGAAAAAATTGTTTGGTTTCTGACTACTTTCTTCATGCAAAACAAAGATAGATAACCATCCTTCAGAAAAATTCCAGCTGTGTTAGTTTGAAGGTCATCTTTTGAAAACTATGTGTAATATGTATTTTGTATGCTTCTATACACGATTATTACTTTCCTTGGTTTTGTTAGCATGTCCTAACTATCAACCGCAACTCCTGTTTTGTTTGGCAAGCCTCCCAACAGTCAACAGATGTTTTCTCCCTCCTATTTCTTCCCTGAGCAAATGACTTCCAAATGATATCATCTCTCCTTGAACAGAGAAGGTGACTCCCTTTGTCCCAGGGCTCTCTTCTGAGCCTTGGTGTTTAGAAACTTGTTAAATAAAAAGGTCCCGTTTTCTAAAACAGTGCAAACTTTTCATTAACAAAATTATACTATGGACCACCAAGGCCAACAGACAGTATAGCCAACTAGGCTTACCTCTAAAGTGTTGGAAGACAAGTCTCAGCTATGAAAATCTGCAATTCATAATGGTTTGCATGGTATGCTTCTCTGCCTAACAAAATAGATTCCATTTACCTGCCGGAAAGCATTATTTGATAAGTGATTTGGTGCTTGCCACACACGGTCCTACGATTGCCTGTAAGATTCAAAGAATATGCATAGATCATCTAATGCTACTTCCTTTTGTAATTTCTTTAGTGGAGTCAACATATGATATGGAAAGAAAATCAAGAATTCTTTTCTCAAGCTTGGGCTGAATTGAAATATCACAGTGAAGTCATTTAACTTTTTCATGCTAAAGGTCTAAAAATAAAACAGGTATTTTTCAGAGTTAACCTTCTAGAACAGAAAAAAATCAAGAGAATTTTTCAATTAGCACTTATTACTGTTAAGAATCCTGGATATCTTTTAAGACTCAGCTGAGCTCTTTTTATTCATCCAGTAATCTCAGTTAGTTAAAAGCACAATTTAGCAATCTGTGTTTGAAATATGTGTACAGTAGATACACTTTCAGGAAGGAACATAATTATTGCCATTTGAAAAGCACATATTTCAATGTACATTTGAAAAATAAACTTCTCAGTTGGGTAGGGCATGGTGCTAATAACCCCGAGGTTGTGGGTTTGATCCTCATATTGGCCATTCATTTAACAGCTGGACTCAATGATCCCTCTGGCCCTTCCAACTCAGGATATTCTGTGATTTCTGTGACATCTCTTTCTCCAAGCAATCTGCAGTTCTAAAAATGTGATATGCAAAATGAGCGCACAGGAGGAAGGAATTTGTGAAGAAACAAGGATTTTGTATCTCTTATATCTTGCTCGCCTAGTTTTCCAGCACAGGGAGTTATGGCTGTTCAAATCAGACTACTCCATTCTCGTACATAAAGTTACTCTTCCAGGCTCTCTGTTGTTAGCAGGACTTCTTATATTCCTCCTCAGAGCTGCCCTCTCCATATGTAAAATTCATCCTCTGGCCTGAAGGTCCAAGTGTTCAACATAAATCTTAGACAAGATGAGAAGCCCTTCCTCAAGGATTTTCCATTGCCTGAGATTGTCTGCAATGGTGCAATGCTGCCATTTCAGCTGGTAGGGTCTTTCTGTCTCTGAAGAGTTGGTCTTTGCTGAATACAAAACCCATCTCTAGCAGGTACACTCTGTGACATTATACTTGACTTTATTTTTAAAACCCTTTACTGACATTGGCAAATCCTAGGCACGGTCTGTGAGTGATTGGCATATTATGAAACCAGAAGAAGGTGCAGAAAAATTTATAAAATACTTATCCAGATGACTGAGACAGACAGCATTTCAGATTTAAAGTAAGAAGCAGGAATTCCTGGATGTCAACTGCATAATCAACTACAGATTCCCTTCAAATAATACATACAGAATCCAAAGGCAAAAGATCAGTAGAAACTTATTGCAGGCTCAGCAGAAGGTTTTCTAAGACCGCAAACTCAGGGTTGTTATCAGTAACCTTGGCCTGGTTGCTTCCTTTACCCACACCTAAGGTGTGGAAAATCAGTCTGGCAGCTTCCAGAACTGTGTTGGTTTGGCAAAAGCTGATTCTGTGCTGTGGAGTGGCCCTCACAAGCAGCAGCTGTCTGACCATCCTTCCCGTGGCAGTGGGAACAGCAATCCCTACTCTTCACAGTCTTTCCCTATAACAGATTTCCTGGACATCTGTCCCCATGCTTCCTGTGGCAGGACTGTCCCCTCAAACAGCAAAATTCATGATCTTCTGCATTGCTAAGAAGCACTGGGCTAGTTCTGCTTGGGAATCACAATTTTTAATGACCAGTAAGTAGTTACTTTCAAAATCATTACTATTACAAAGGGCCTATATTTTTAATCCTAAAAGCACCAATGTACAGAAAACCACAAGGTGCCAAGGCTTAGTAGCTAATAAGATGATTCACTGTCTCCACCTTTCACTATGGTTAAAATCTTAGACTCTAGCTTTACTGCTCTTCAGGGACCTCTGACACATCTTTGAGATCTGTGTTGAGATTAAACAAAAACATTTGTGAGCATGGACCACCTACACTGAGTTAAAGCATTTGAAATTAAATACTTCTCTGATTATGCAATGTTAAAATCCTTACTGTTAATACAGTTTAGCTTCTTCTGGATTGCAAATTCTCAATTTTATTTAGCATATAAAGCTAAAGCCCAGAATCAGTCAAGCCATTTTTCACTATAAGTAATGGTTCTTCCATTTGATATACACTAAGAATCATCTCTCGGCAAGATTTTCCCCTATCATTAGGTTTTGTTCTCATAACAGAGCTATTGGATTTGAAACAAAAATGTGGTTGTCTAACCACAAAAATCCAACAAGGAGCACAAAGTAAAAGAATCCTTAAAAGGCTTCTGTTTTTGGTTTTAATTTTAAATATAGTATTAGTATAGCACTTTTAAAATTAGACATGTCAGAAATGTACAAACAGAGCACCTAATATAAATGGAATGCAGCTTAAAATCACAAGTCTTCATATGCAGGCTTCATATGCAGCTACTTTAAAAGTGTAATTTTGAACATCAAAAATACAAGGATGAGGAGAAAAGTTATATATCCTTATTCCTTCCCATTTCCTCATTGTAGAAAGTGCTGACATAACCCTTCAAAGCTTTGGTGTATCCTGAAGAATTTACCTTCAAATTCATTAAATGATCTGCAAATTTTACTAAAGTTTTGAGCTAATATCTAATAAAATAATGGATCTCAGTAAAATGAAATTACCATCCTTCAAAAGATACATTTTATATTTTATTGTGACTGATCCAGAATTAAATTATAAAACCCCCTTCATATTAGTTTTTAAATAGAAGTTTAGGTCTCCTGTGCTGCTTCCTCAACTGTTTGTTATGAACATGAAGTGTTACCACCTTATCAGTCACTAAATCATATTGAATTGCCATTGTGCTTGATTATCTATGGGTATATGTTTTATTATGTTCTATTCTAGAAGAAGATAGATTATTGAGAAAGACACAATGTTTTCTACAAATGCATCTTTGATAAATGTTTTTGATAAAAAACTTTTGATAAATCAAATTAAAACCCCAGGAATTTTTATAACTTTTTTTCATTCCATGACATTCAAATGTTTCTTTCTAGTAATCTGGAGACACTTCTATAAAGTGGATGGTCATACAAATCCATATTTGTGAGCTTTAACTGACTTCGACAGAGCTACACAAAAAGAAAAAAAAAATGCTAATAAAATGCTAGATAAAAGATAAAATAAGGAGTCATATGAAGTAAAAAAATCACTAATTAAAGATGTACCCCACAGTCTGAATTTATCCTCTGCAGTGTTTTCCTGATCTACTTGGCCCAAGAAATATGAAATAGTGAAAGACGTGTGGAACAGTCATGACTACATTTCAACACACCCATTCCACAGAAAATGCATCTCATTCATAGAAGAAAACCATGAAGACAGCTAGGCTCAGAATTTTCTATGTATAACAATTGAAAATGGTCCTGAAAAGAAGTGTTGATAATTGTGACAAAAAATATTTGAATATATTATTGGTGTTGTGCCAGATACATGCTCCATTTTGTTTTTTCTCAGACAGAGGTTTTCTTAGAAGATTTCATTGCCTACATAACTGCTTTACTTCTTCCAATTTCTGCCTCTCATAAGCTATCTAAAATGCAAAGCAATGGCACTCTGCCATGAATCTCAGCATATCACTTCCCCATCTGTCCAAATCAGGCACCTGTCCAGATTAAAATGAAGCTTTTCTCTGTTGCACATCTAGATTTAATTCTGACAAAAATCCAAGGTTATGAAAAACGGGATGTGCAACTGCATCTGACTGCAACACAGAATCAAAATGCTGCTTGGGCGTGTGTCCGTCACCAGCTCAATGTGCGGCAGGAAGTCCTGGATCTCTTTCACAGTGCCTCTGGAGCTGCTGTCTCTCACAGATGCCTCTTGCAGAGGTCAGACAGATCCTGTCAGATCCTGTTCTGGAGACCATTTGTCACAATCCCTTAAATCTTATCAGCAATACAAATTCAATTACCACTTATGGTGCCATTAATTTACTTCTTAATAATTAATTAATTAATAATAATTTCTTATTAAAAAAAAATTGATCTTTCTCTCTAATAGGCAGTCTTGGCTATTAAATCAAGTTCACTATGATTTAATGAGTTCTGAATAATCTTTCACCATGTTTTTTCCACAGATAATTGCTGTTTCATGTCTGATTGAGATGCCCAAATTAGACTTCACCTTTCCTGACAGGAATAGAATATTTGCAGTGTAATATCTGATATCAGAAATTAATAAGACTTTCATTTTTTCTGGATTTAGAATAGTTTTGCTTCCAAATTACTTATGGGTTACTTAAGCCATTTATTGATTCTCTGAAAAAAACATTTTTGCTTGTTTACAAATGTACCAGCAGTTTCATTGTATGCTCCGTGGTCCTCAAATTGTGAGATATATAGTAAAAAATAATTCTGTAGTTAAGAATATAATACAACTACATAACAGCACTCCTGAACTGCTCTAAAATTTTTTAATCATAAATCTATTATGATTTTGTCAATGAGTTTTAGAACTCACTTTTCTGGCCAGTCTTTTCTTGAATCTTGCATTGTTCACCTATAGGCTTTGAAATCTCACAAAATTGATTGGTTTATATCTGATGCCATGTCTGACATTTTTCATAATAATTTCTCATTTCATGCCACCATCATCACTTCTGCTGTAGGAAAAACTGGAAGAACAACTAAGCAAGGTTAGAAGACATTTTAGCAAACAGTCCGATGTACACTTTAACTAGACACACTGCCCTAGAAAAGGGAATAAAATTGGAGAGTTACAGCTCTGCAACTCCAAAATCACCAAAAGACATCAATGACAGAGACAAAATTATGCACATCTTTTCCTGTCTACTCCCATACTCAGTCCTCTTCCACGAGCACTTCCAGGACAAAATTTCAATGTCTACAAAAACTGCAGATTTGGAAATACCCAATGATAGTCTCTACAACAGAATCATCTAGGTGAAGTTCAGGGTCAGACAACTCAGCACATGAGTCTTAGTACAAAATTAAACCTTTGACCCCTTCCACACAAATATACACATATATAGTCAAGATTATTATCTACTCTCTTGACCATTCTACATTTCAAAGTTTTAGGATACATTTGATTTCTTGGAAAGCATCATACTGCATATCTACATCATAAACAAACCTGAAGAAAATGTAAGGCGTAATTTTATTTTTAGGGCCAGCCAATAGAAGGCATACAAATATGCTCTCTTCAATATTGACATGGGTGCCTAAACTCAGGGAAAAAAAAGTATAAGAAATTTTCCAGATGGACCAAAACGCCCTGTAACTTGTTTAGAATCTCACAACACAAACACTTCAGGTCTAACAGCTGCCAGAATGGGTGTGTTTGTGTGTGGTGCACGCATATGTGTGTGTGTCTCTCTCTTTTTCGTGCTCTGTCTTTTCCTATTTTTGTAGTGTTTGCTCTCTGGCTTTACTTTTTTACAGCAGTTTTTGCCAATCCAAAATATGTAGACACTAAGTTAAATCACTCATTTTGTTTATGTGGCAACAAGTTCAGACTTCTTGCCGAAAAATGTTCTTGGCTTTGGACAAAGCAGGCTTTGAGATGCTTCCATCTGTTTTGAATACACCACAAATCGTAGTATGGAAACCATTGCTCTCAACTGGTAGCCAATTTGCTGAATAAACCTATATTAAAAAAAATAAGTATGATTCAACTGGAGACTATTTTCATATTTTTATATCATTTAATTTCAAAGGAATCCAATCCTTATATGGAAGAACCTTAAATACTTATGAACTTTCTTGCTGGGAAGAGGGTCAAGTAAGTAACAAAAATTTAAATTCATAAATTGGTATTATCAGTGAGGGGAAAAGGTTTAGGTTCTTGATGTTCTTATATAGTATTCCTCATAAGAGGACCTTAGTTTTGTTTCAAAGGTAAGCTTTCAATCTCTCAGCAGTTTCACTTCTTTGTATGTTCTACTACTGCTTGGAGAATTTGAGAGAATTTGTGAGTCAAATTCTCTCAACAGTCAACAGTATACACAGTCTTGTAAAAAGGAGGATATTCTCTGCTTTGCCTTTTGTCTGTTGTGGTAGTCTTGGCACATCTTTTTATTCTTCCTCTTTTCTCACTCCTATTTTGACTACCACTGCTAGTTTTGGAAAGAGACAAGGGTTTCTTTAACAAGATGTATAGATAGCACCAGCAATAAGGACTCCCAGACAAAACTGGTTTCAAATACATCTCTTTTTGACCCCAGAAGATTATAATCATAGAATCACAGGACATCTCAAGTTGGAAGGAACCCATAAAGATTGTCAAGTCCAACTCTCTGTTCCTCACAGGGAGTTCCATCTTTCAAGACAGTCAGCAAAATGTGATTTGTGTATACTTGTGTGTGATTTACATGAAAACTAACTACAGGAGTTACTCAAAACATCAGAGGAGATGCAGTAGTAAAACCTTGAGAAATTTTTTCAAATATAACTTTCAACCCACACCACTGGTCCCCACATTCTGCTTCTAAAATCAAGCATAGAGTGGGAATGTGTTCTAATGTATCTACATTATGCAAAACTAAGTCTTTCTAATACGTATTTCTGTCTTATGTTCCCTTCCAGGCATAGTCTTTTTTCAGAGACACGGCAAACCAAAAATATTCAAAGTCCAGAAGTCAAGAGCCAGAAGCAAGGGATTCTGTGCCTGTTGTGGTAAATTGCCTGTGATCAAATGTCATGGCTCATGCCCATGTTCCAAATTTATTGCAGAAGAACCTGGCTTAGGAGAGTCAATGATGGAGAAGGCACCTCATACTGCAGCATCTAGTAATAATTCCTAATTTTACTCCAAGGCAGATGTGATACAAATTATTCAGCTGAGCTTGTGAATGTCCTGAAGTTTGAACCTTTCAATAGAGCTACAGTCCAACTGCATTGTTGATAAAACAAAGCTGCAAGCAAAGGCTGACATGTAACAGAGCTGTTAATAAGTACAAACATTGGTTTCCATATGCAATATTTAAAATATACCAGAAGAAAATCACTGAAACAAGGATATTTACTATAGGTTTGCAGTCATTATCAGTAAGTTCTGTCAGACATTATGATAGCCTCCATTCTTTTACACTTAGCCAAAATTTAGAATTATATGAGGACTGTATGTAAAGAGGAAACAAAATCTTGTTCCTTCATTTCAAACAATTTTTGTATGTTCTAACTCAAAGGTTCCCTCTTACTCTATCTACATGTTTTTTATGGTTGCAGATGTTGTGGAGTATAACCTCAGATGATGCAGAATATCTAAAATCAAAATTAAATCAAATCTTCAAGGTGCTAATGCTAATAATTGATCTTTGATGCTAGCTTTCTCCTCTTTTCTATATTTCTACTTCATCATGTCGCCTAGTGTTGCCTGAACAAAAACTCCGAGAAGAGGCAGCTTTGCTCTGCACGTGGGCTCGAGCTGCCCATCCCCTCAGCAGAGTGCATGACAGGAGGGTGCTGCTGGATGTGTGGACCAAGTGGCAATCTGCAGTGCTGTGAGGAGCATGAGGTAGGTACAGGTTGCATACTTTAAAGGTATCAAGGAGAAAAGATCTCATTTCCTCTACCAAGATGTTTGCCAAGATACCCTTGAGGGAACAGACAGGAACAGAAATGTTAGGGTAAGAATTCAATCCCATTCACAAACCCTCATAATGTCTTTCACCCTTTGGGCAAAATATTTGTTAGTATTCAACACTTGTTGATCCTTTCTGCTATCAATATTATTACAAATTTAACTGATGAGACCTTTCATTGTTAAATTGCCAGGGCTATTACAGTTTTCTCCCTGGGTGGAGACATTTCTCTCTTTCACTTTCCAATAAATTACACTCTTTTTTGTCATTTCTTCTAAGGATAATAGCTCATATCTTCAAAGCACCCAAACCATGAAGAAAGAAACTAGTTTTTAATTAACATTAAACCCTCTTACTTCTCTAAATTTGAATAGTATGTATTAGAGAGACAAGAAGGTATTCCTATACAATTAACTGGTTCATTGACTCACTTATTTTGAATGTCAACATATATAAACCACGAACATCACATGTATAAACTTTATACAGTTTTAAGCATAGCTCAAACCCTTTTGCTTCTCTTAGGATTGGTACAAAATTATCTGACATCAGTAATTTCTCAACACAATGCATCTCTCATGCTATAATAAAAGACCTTCAAATGACTTCTTAATGTGATGAAATTTGCACTTCATCATCTCTGACTATTCCTCAACAGACGTCACTACTTAAATCTCAAATTAGATATATCAAAAAAGACATCTTTCTGCTGTATTCCTAGATTTTTATTAACTTGATGGAATCTCTAACTTTACTGAGGCATTGCTCCAGTTTGATACTCAGCTGGATCTAGTAATCTGATCCAGGAGCAGGTTGAGGCTCTGGTGTTTACAGTCACATCCTTATAAGGCATCTTGGTTCACTTCCATTTATTGTTTTTTCTATAAAGCTTTCATATTTTGGTGAATTATTTATGCCATCAAACCAAGAACTCTCATTGCTGATAGTGTCACAATGTTATTAGGTAAGAAGTAATATCTGACATCTCAACTTCCATGTGCCTCCACAGAGTGAGAAGTGAAGAGTTCTGTTCTTCCCCACAAGCAGATAGCTGGAATACTAACGACAGTATAGGCTGAGCACAATGTACAAGGAAAGCCGAGCCCCTGGGCTTTCAGCAAGTTGTCAGCTCGTGCTCACTCACACAGTGCTCCTCCACAAACCTGTTTTACAACACATGTCCTTCACCCAAACCTGCTGAACATCAGAAGGAAACAGGTTTTGTTTTTATCCTAAAATTCTGAATTGTAATACAGGTGAAGGAGGGGAAAACTTGAAAGAAAAAGCCCAGGTTAAAGGAGAGCCTGTCCTTCCAGTGGCTGGAGCAGAGCATGTTCTCACCAGGTAACACTTGGCACAAGCATGGCTGTGACTTTTTCCCTCCTTTTTCAACCAAACATATTTCCACCACAATCTCCTAGAAATCTCTCTAATCACTTCCAGATCAAAAATTTAAAGAATGTGCTTATTTTTCTGGGCTTCTGCTGCTCAGGCAATGCAGTGTTTGTCTCAGTACCTCAGTAGACCAGGGCAAACAGGGCTGTTTGTGTGTGATCACTATGTGCACGTGGAGTTCTCTCTGATAAGGGTCTGGAACCACTGCAACACAAATGACTTATACCAGCATATTGGAAAGTGATAGCATCACCCAGCCATATGTATCTGCTAACCCAACAAGCCAAATGGGTACCCACAGTGACTTTCAGAGCTTTGCCAGTAGTATCTGCTACCTAGACACAAGTAAGCTGTGCACCTTATTTACCTAATTTTTAAAATTAAATTTACTTAATTTACTTAAATTTTACCTTTTGTTCTGATCTGGCCACATCTTCAGGTTGAAATACTAGCCAGGCAGTGGTATTTAGAAGTGTATATATGTCTATGATTCAGTTTTCATGCAGACAGAATATTTATATAGATTTCAGTGAGAAGAGGGAGGTTTAATTTTGAGTGGTAATTTTATAATCAGACAAAATATTCAAAATGCTGAACTATCTAAATGCTTTTTACAGGCAATTCATCAGAACTGACTGAGAAAAGGTGATAAGATAAAATTTTAAATCACATAAACTGCCAATAGGCTTTTTCAAAGTAGTTCTAAGCAAAACATTCTGGTTTCCCTTTTTCTTCACTAATGTGCTGTTCCTGTGAATGCAGTTTGATTTGCATGTTTTGTTCTCTTTTCCTACAGCAACACCTACTGTTAAAAATATAACTGGAATTTTCAGTTACAAGTCCATGAGGTTATTTTTAAGTAACCACTAGCAGTTCAAACTTTCAAAGTGATCCTAATCCTGTTATGCAATGTGTTTTGTTTCTCCAACAACCTTTTTATGAAGCAATCTCCTATCTAAACTTCTCTCTGAGTGCAAAATACATTAATTAGAAATTTTTAAGACAATCCTGAACCTGATTGAAATATCTGAACTGACATTCCACCCTGCAGTAGGTCAGTGACAAAATGCAGATGTGGACTAAATTTTTAAATCCAGCGCCCAACCTGACTTAAAATCAAAATATTAAAATAAAAATCAGATATTAATAGAAGATAATTTTAATGAAAAATAAAACCATCTTATAAAATTAGATCTGGTTTTAATGTAAAATTTCAGTTTCAGGGGAGATTGATCCCACATTTTTAATGCAATTCTATCCTTAATTTTACCTAAGCTGTGAGGAAAAGTTTACTTTCATAATTTAGTGTTCACGCTTTGAAGAAAAATTATATGGAACAGAAAATAGAGGCCTACAGAAAGCCCAAGTACAGTGTCCACTTTTGTAAAAATTTAAGTGAATATTTAAAATAGCATAAAAAAATCATGTACCTGGTCCTAATGTACTTGGTGGCTATTAGGAGATTGTTTTGACAGAAGGCTGGTTCACAGTTTCTGTTCCCAGATTTATAGAAACTGACAGCAGAGCTAACATTATTTCTTGTTTTGAGAAAATGTGTTCTATGTCTCTCTGTGACTAAGGTCACTGTGTGTCATCGTGTTCCCTAAAGCATGTTGCAAGCAAAGTTCAGCTCCAAGAAGCCCGTTACCAGACTGTTTATCTGAAGTCATACTCTATGTCTGTCTTTTATACCTAGAAGAATTTACAACAACTTTATATACAGAAACACTCTGTGACTATGTCATACTTTGACTGAATTTGAATTACTCATATATTCAAAAGATAAGCTGCTTAAATGAAACACATCATTTGATTTGGGCCAGCTGCAAAAAACATAGACTCTTTTATTCTCAGAAGTTCCTACAATGGATTTTTGCTAACTGTTAAAGATAAAAAAAATATTTTAAAATCTCAGAAATACTTCAGAAAAGAAAAGCCCTCCTCAGTCTTCCCTGATCCTTTGTATATGGACCTATATTTCTTTATGCATTGGCCCGACAGGTCATGAAGATGTGAATTTCCAGAGACACAGTGAGAAAGACTGAATAACAGGATCAGCGAATAGATGGCAGCCCAGTAACACCACTAGCTGTCTGGGTCACCCAACAGCCCTCAACAGTTTCTGTTAACTTTCTCTTGTCTGAATTGCCCTGATGTGCATATCCAAGCAATCTGCCTTTACACATTTAGTCATCAGAGAGAAGGATATGTATTACATACATTGGAACAGGTTGCCAAGAGAAGCTGTGGATGCCCTGTCCCTGGTAGTGTTCAAGGCCAGGTTGGAAGGGTTTTGAGAAATGTGGCCTAGTGGAAGATGTCCCTGGCCATGGAAAGTGGGGTGGAACTAGATTATCCTTAAAGGTCTCTTCCAATCCAAATCTTTATATGATTCTACAATTTTTGTAGACTTAAAATGACAGTCCTTAGCAATCTCATCCAATAGTAATATTCACTTCTCAAAACCTAGCTTTTGTCACATTCATGTGGCAAAATACTCATGGCTCAAACTGGAAAAAACCCTAAACTTTCAAGTTCCCTACAGAGAAATGCAAGAAATACACATCATGGAATTGTACAGAGGCTGCTTTTCACTATGAAAAGCAATTCACTATGGATGAAGCATTTCCTTGTTCAAATTGCCATACCAAACCAGACTCAGCTAAAATATAGAAGAGACATAGGAGCTGAACTGCAGGCCATACCCTACCCTAACCATTTACATTGTTTTCCCTTGTATAGTAGACTTCAGCAATATCTTTATATAAGAAATTGTCACAGGCCTGGTATAATGATCTGTATGTCTTTTGAAGCCAACTCAGACTATCCCTTCTCAGCAGGAGAATCTGTGCATATAAAGAGGAATTTTCATGTCTATGAAGTAGTTTAGACTTATTCTACAGGGAATGCAAATTTCATAAGATTTTATCTATAGACATGCGCAATATTCACCACTATTTTACTGCAGTATATTAATGAATAATCATGTCACAAGACTGGTCCTGGCACAGATCACAGTGTGCTGTGAGCTTACAACTTACGGAGTTACTTCTTGCATTCAGCTGCTAAAAGCAGAGTTAGAACTTGAAAGAAAATCTACAGCAGTCCCTGTGAAAATTTCCACTGACTTCAATATGCTTTAGTATAAGCTTTTTCAGCTGAGCGTCTCCAGTGAAGTTAACTGATGAAAGCATTTGTATGTGGATGTGATTTGCTATGTAAACATATGATGGAATATATTTTCTGTGGATTCTTTGGCTGGTAACAAAGAATCTGGTAAACATTCACCCCCTTCAGACTGCAGTTTCAGCAACTAAAAGTTTTGTTTTTTCTGAGAACTGTGTGAACAGAAGCTGAAGTTCATAATAGCTCTCTAAACATTACTGTCTGGTTTCTGTTAACATTTCCATTACCACGGCTTCTCAGATAGTTTCACAACAATGCTAAATTCGCAAGGATACATTACAAAAAGATATAAGTTCCCAGTGGGTTTTTTACTACATAGCTCAAGTGTCACATTAGAAATAGATTTTTCCTTAGACACTCACCTAGGAAGAGCAGAATCACTTAGGGAGCCAAGTCTGGCCAATAATAAGCATGCGATAAACTTGCAGGAGAAAAAAAAGCTGAATGCCTACCTATTGTCAAGAAATGGTCTTGAGATAGTAGTGCATGGCTTATCAGAAAGGAATGTTATGAGAACTCCGTGTACTTGAGTTTGCACAGATGCACAGAGATAAATCTATTTACTTGGTATGACTGAACCTGGGTAGAAATAACTAAACTATCTAGTGTGACCAAAAATTGTTGTGAATGCAGGCAAACCCGAAGGGAAGAGATGATGGCGTCTGACTCAATTTAGAAGGTTGAATGATTTCTTTATTATAATTATGCCAAAATACATTAATATACTATATAAAGAAAGATACTAAAAACTACAAACCTACTTGTTCTAACTAACACAACTCGTGACCCTCACGAGAGTCCAGACACAGGTGGATTGGTCTGGCCATCAGGCTCAAATAATCCTCACCAGAATACAATCAAGCAATCACTCCAGGTAAACAATTCTCCAAACACATTCCACATGAGAAAAACAAGGAGCAGAAATAGAAATTGTTTTCTCTTTCATTTCTCTCTTTGCACCTTTATGAAATTCCTGAGAGAGAAATGTACTTCTCACGAAGAATCTTAATTTTAAATGTTATACATATAAAATATTTTTAATTGCTTTCAGAATAAAATCTTTCATTATTTTCAGCCAGTCACTTCAAAAGAACTACTACAGCTAGTATAAAAGAATTTCTCTTGCATTTTGACCAAAATTATCTAGTAAAGCTTATTTTCAGTCAGCGAAGATATAGACAAGCAACTGGAGTAGCATTAAGCTTTATCTTACGGAAAACTTGGAACTGACTTTTCTCTATTTCAGGTAGACATAGTAGAGAGGCATTTCTAACAATGATTTTGTGGATGTACTGACTTAGCACAAGTTTACATGAAGAAAAATCATCCCATTTATAAATCAGGCTGCAAGATGCAACTTGGAAAAGGTTAGAGAATATCTCTTTCATGCACACCTGTACAAAGCCAACAAAACTGAGAAACCTATCTATAGGGAATGAGTCTCTCCCTGTCTGATGGATAAAAACTTCTGATAATTTTGACATTGCTTTCAGCTTAAATTACATTCTAAATATTAAAGAATACATATAGGTGCAACTGATATTATTTCACAAACCTGGTTTTCAATGGCACTGACAAGCTCTTCAGTTGAAATTAAATTCTCCTTTCACGTACAACAGTAGATCGCAGTTCCAGTATCTTGCCTCCCCAGCATGCATAGAATTGATCTCAGCATTTGACAGAAGCTTTAGGAATGATCTCTGAAGGAACTAAAAAGCAGAATCTATGAAGTAAATGTAAATGAACCACAGATCATAAGTAATGTTGTCCCAAAGGAAAAAAGAATCTCGAAAATCTTCCAGGGACATATCTGCTTCACAGATGAGACCAAAGTTGTGTACTGCAGTAAGATGCAAAGTGGACATGCATTCATGTGCTATATAAAAGATATATGTTATGTGACTGTTTTAAGTATAATAATTTTGTGGTCCCAGACCTAACTGTTCTGTCTTATTCTACTTGTATAGACATTGTTAAAAGTCTTAGTGAGGCTGCAGATTTACCAGGAGAGGACTGAAGCCTTGTAATGCCCTTTGAGATCTACTATAAGGAGAGATGGTAAGTATGCTTCTATTACTTACACAGATATAAAGACAAAAATACACATTTGTGCATGCAAACAAGCACACACATTAAAAAAAAATCACAAAAGGCTAGTCCCTGTCCTTAGGCCACCATGTGGCCAACTGATAAGTACACAAAAGTTAGGAAAAGGATATAAATACTTGCTCATATAGTTTGTCAGAAAGAAACATTCTCACTTTCTTGAAGTCTTTTCTTTAAAATTGATTATTTATTATTTGTCAAAAAATCATCAATTGATCTTCACGCTTTCAATGCCAAGAACATTTAAAGGAAGCTTGAAGGGCAGTTCAGAGTCTAGGAAGTGAAAAATTCTGCTGCCCAAAAGAGGCATAAAAATGCTAGTTTCACAAAATAAGCTCTGCTAAAGTGATCAGACTGCAGACTGAAAAATCTAGTTCAGAAGTCAAAAATGTAATACCAAACCAGGCAGTACAGACTAGATAGAACCTTTTCAGCACCAGACAAAGAGGACAAATTGGCTGAGCAATTGTCTTGAAGGAAATACTTTACTAGTCTGTAGTATTTCTGAGCTAAAGAACAAATGTTGGAAAGTGAGAGAAGCTTCAGCTGCCTTCCAAAAGGTGTGTTCAGAAGGCCTTATGTCCCACAAAATCCACACATAGGGTGCTGCCAGAGCTATTTGTAGTTTTGCTTTCTTTTGTGTCTTTCTAATTTAGTGGTTCAAATCTCTTTGAATTTTTTTTTCTTCCAAACTATGGCTAAGTTTGCTTCCAGTCCAGAATATTCTTAGTCTCCTTTTTCAAAGATTATATTTTTTAAATGGTAGTATTTAAGAAATTTAATAAATTTATACATTTCCTGTTTTTTTATTTAGAATTAGCATAGTTTCTCACATATTTCTTTCAAAACATCCTTTGCCAAAACAGTGACCTTGAGGGTATGAGTCTCATCTATTCATGGAAATGTTTTCTTTTCAGCTAAAAACAAGGGTTCTGTGGTTTCATCCTGTATTGCAACCTTTCAGCCAAAGACCATCTAAGTAAAAACAGAAGGAACAGAAAGCCTCATATATCTGAGGCAGCAACTTCTTGTAGGTGAGAAATGAAGGTGACATCTCCACTCCATTACAATGGCATGACTTGTTACAAGTTTGACATAGCAAAATATAAACAAATCAATGTACAATTATTTTGTTTGTGGAGACAAGCAAAAAACTATCCAAAATGTAGCATCCTCAGCTGGCATTACTTTTAGACTGGCTGGCAGCCTCTGCAAAGAGAACAAGGAATACTGAAATACATTCGAAGATCCTGTTTCCAAGGCACTTTAGAGATGTGCTACCCAGGCAATATGAGAAATGGGCCTTCCATATGTGTGTGACACCTCTACCAGATTTAGAAGGTGAAGTAAAGGGACTAATAGAGTTTAATCTAAAGTGCTTATTTTGTAAATGTCACATTTTTTCTTTGAAAATTAAAATGTATGGACTCATTCCCAAAGCTCAAAAAATGAAGACTTGCACCATTTTGGATTGTTTTGCAGTACTAAGCTAGATGTTTCTGCTCCGTTGGGCAAGTGTAACAGCAGACAATAAATAGACAGCGTCTTCTGCAGGCATTGAAGGAAAAGCTATACCTCAGTAAAGCTAAGACATATTACCTTTTCTAATTCTATTCCACAATTTCAATTTTCTGCCATTGTTTGTTCCATGTGCTATAGACATCGAAGGCTCTGAATTTTGTCAGTCTTGAGGTATCATAAAAGCGACAGTCTTGCAATTCATCTTTAATGAGTTGTTTACATGGAAATCAAACAGCTGTGGAATTTCTTGAAAATAGCCAAAGATCATTCCTAGCACTCTGTCTCTTAAAAACAACTTTTGTGGCCATATATCAACTATCACTGAGTGAGATTCATAGCTGTAATAAAACTGTTTACTCTTTCACTCCAAACAGTTTTCTTATTTATGTGCCCCGGCCTATATCTTCTAAAATATATACCATCTCTTATTGCTGCAACCTCTAATTTACCAACAGTATCACTAATAAATCACAAGCAACTGCTCTTACTTTTATTCCTCTCTTAGGAATAGACTGGGAGCCTTTACACACAGCTGTCTGAACTTGTATCATTTTCAGATAAAAGTATTATTTATGCTCTAAAATGTCCCAGGAGCCTCCTAGACAGAATTGTACACAATTAGGATCTACTTATTTTTACATGTGGGTCAACCAAGCAAGATTCATAATGGAAAATTTAATTCCATATCTGCATTTAGGTGAGTCTGGATCATGCATATGCATACACAAAATTCATACTAGTTGCTTGAGAGGTCATTGGACCTTCAGCATGATCACTTCAGGAAAATGCTGACATTTTCATTGGTTTTGCTACATTTGTTTATTCCTGTGTTCCAGTTTGTTCCTTTTCCAAACATCCCTTCTTTGTCTCACTATCTTTTTTTTCCAAATTATATATTGTTGGTTTGTGTTTTAGACACCAAGAATTTTAGCTCAGTTGCAAGATATACTGTTGCATGTAAGTGCACTTTGACACTGGATACAATCCAAGATGAAATACATAAAACCTGGGCTGTCACATCAAAGGATACTCAGTAAATTTAGTCCTTTAACCTTATTACTTTCAGCATTTTTAATTATACTTTATGAGTTATGTGCATTCAGTTTGTAAAGGGATGCTCTATTTGGTGAAAGAGTTAATCCTCCTATTTTAACTGCACTCACACTCTGCTATCAAAGCTCTCGGCAGCTAGATTCAAGGGCTTGTTGTGTGAATTAATCTAGTTTTTAAAATTCTCTGGGATGAAAGACACTGCAAAAATGAAAACCCCTACCTACTTACTTACTAGGAAGCCAGAAAGACTATCAGGACTTGCATGACATTTAAATTAGACAATAACATGTGACTTAAAAATCATCTTTAATTTGTCAATCCAATCTATCTGTAAAAAGAACCAAATACGTTAAATAAAATTTCTGGTCTAGTTTTTCTCTAGCCCTTTAAAACAGAAATACCAGAAAATCTAATATTTAAATTTAGACTTTTTGTTCATTCAAAGGAACAAATAGAGATAGATAACTGCAACAAGGTGTAATGTTATTAAATTACAGTCACGCTATGTAGTAATATAGTTATAATTATCTAAAGATGGCCTATCAGACAAAAATACGTGTTCAGTGTTTTTAACTGAAAGTTTATTTAGAATAACTATGGGCTTAATATGAAGCTGAATAAACCTGTAGCCTATATCCTCAACAGATTGACATTTCACTGGGATTTAAATGCAAGGCTTCTGTGGCAATAAAAAAGGGGTCATTTTTAAATGTAGCTTGCAAGAAGCTGGGTAACAGCAGGAGTGTCATATATTAGATAGGTGGGATATTTGCTAGGACAGAAAGGTAGCACTTGAAGCTTGGCTTCATGTGTGTGTAAGTGTCATTTTGTCCCATATTCCTGTTACGGGGTTTTTTATGGCTCATTTGCAAAAACTCTAAAGCTTAAGTGAGAGATATGAAGTGGTACAGATTGTTGGTTCACCAGCAAACACAACATGCAGGAAAACAGACTGTTCAATGTCCATGGGGGTAAGTGATTTTAATGAAAGGAAGCAGTGAGGGTAACCCTTCTAGATATAAAGTTCCTATATTAAAATGAAAGATTTTTTAGGATTATGGACAGATGCATATCAAGTAGACACTTGATATATTAAAAAAAAATTGAAAATAATTGACCTAACATTTGCCAAGCAATCAGACACAATATTTGATTTGCACTGTGGTATAGCTAACTAAAGTTAATTCACTCTGACACATAAAAAATGCAGTGATTAAAAGGCAGAAGCCGGACAGACCTTCTTTCCTAGTAAGCTAAGAAAAGACAGGAACACTCTTCTGAGTTACTCTGTTTACTTTTTGCAGTATGAACTGACAGGATTCGCAGCTACAAAGCAAAAGAAGATCTGTTCCATGAACTAGAATCTACCTCTGAAACATTTTTACTTTTCTAAAGAAAAGGTTGCCAAAACACATTTTTATTTATTTTCAGAGATATTTTTGTTTCTCTTATCTACAGCTGTTCCTTATTGAAGCATTTAAAAAATCAAATGAAATCTCCTAAAACAGGGATAGACTGAACCAGAGGAAGGGTTGTGTCCTTCTCTTTGTGTGTATAAATGTAGCAAAATAACATGTCATAATGGAAGCAATACAAAAATTTGAAACTTCTAATAGTTTCCAACAGGAGCTTGAAGAATCAGTTTCAAGGAAAGGATTCAGGATAACTTTTTTGCACAGTATTTTGTAGCATCCTTCAAGAATCATGACAGAGGACATACTGGGGAAAACATAATTAAAAGCATTCTTGAAGTCATGCTGTTCTTCAGCTGCTGTAAGACTTTTAGCAGATCCATCTGTATTTCAATATACATGCAGAGCCATTGGTACTTCAGCAGCATATAATGGGAACTGACTAATTAATATTTGCACCATCTTGGTTGGAGTCTTTACTGAAGTACTTTCTGCATCCTAACTATGAGTAAAAAATTAGTACCAGGAGTACATATTTATATTATTAGCAGTTCTGCTTCTAAATATTTGTTTACAAGAGAAGCAGAATGGAAAAGAGATAAAGATAGTTTTCAAATGCTATTTTTATCCACAGAACACTCAGTTTCTATTATTCACATTAACAGAATCAAATGCAGCCTCCATCCACATGAACTAAGCCCACTCTAGGCAAGGTCTTGAAAAATGAATATATACATAGACAATAATGGACTACTCTGAAAAAGGATATAAGAATTTGGTGGAGTTTCAGAGGTATCAAAGGACAATCATATAGATGTATGGACTGCCCATGTTCACAGTTTTCTACTAAGCCTTAAAGGGTGTGTAAATACTGGGTTTATAGAAGCAAACATGGCATTCCATAACAAGCTTCTTTCTTGTTTCTACAAACATCACAAGAGGCCACAGTATCTCTAGTCGTATTACCAATTTTAAAACAGAATCCTATGCAAATTTAAATGAGACCAGGATTATATGGAGAATGTAGAGAGCCTTTGGTTGCTCTTTTTGGTGCATAGACTAGAAGATTTACACCAGAAATCATAGTCAGCAAGAGATAAGGCTGGTATAGTTCTGAAGGAAGCCAAAAGGAAAGTCACAGTCCTATTGCTGGTTGGTCCCACAGAAAAACTGCAGTTGAAGATAATTAGTAATTGCTCTATCTTCCTATGTCAAAACAATAATGCATTATTTACTGATTTTAAAATTCACGTTATTTAGTTATACAGCGTTTCTAACTTCTGGAGTAGGCATTCTAGAGATGGCAAGTCAATTTGTATCAGTCTCTTATGCTTCTTTAGAAAGTGTCTCGTAAAAGTACCAACAATTTGGTAATTATTTTATCCAGAATTTTAGTTTAAAAAAGAATATTGTGTCCAACCATCAAAAAACTTGGTTTCTGTGCAAGAAAAGAGCCCAAAAGGCTGTCTGTTGATCTCTAAAATGTCAGGCCCATTATGCTGCAGAGTAGCATAAAAATGAGGTTCTAATCTTTTTTTCCCCTATAGATAGAGAAAACAATAACATTTTACTAGAGAGACATTACTTCTGTCACAACCTTATACTATTAGTTGCATGTGAGATTCAACTATGGAACCTTGGCTCACATTCTGTAGTAGCCATCTTTGTCCTTGGAGATTATTTAGAGTCCCAGAGGTGGATTACTGAGAAAAAAAAAGTTTGCCACTGAAATGGGACATCAGTAACAGAAATGAACCAGAACACTGCACATAAGTTTGTAATTAGAGGCCTGATTCTGCAATAGTCTGAGTATTTCCTGAACAGTTTGCTGCTGAGTACCTTTAACTCACCAAGTGATGTCATGAGTTTAGTTTGTTAAGTAACACAGCACTGCAGTGAGAGGAATGTACAGAAGGTTATTTAATAGGAGGTATGTTTCAATTGCTATTCAAAGGCAAAAAATCAAGTCTCAGAATACTGGAACTTTTTGGTTGAGACTGCACACATCCCGTGCCAACCAAGTCATTAGAGCACCTTACCTGAACTAGAGAGAAGGCCACTTCATGAATTAAATAGCTGGACAGATGCCCAGCTAAGCATACAGACTCACTTTCACAGTCAAAGCACCCTCACAGAATTAAAATTTGATGTTATCCAAGCCACAGAGCCACTTTTCTTGGTACTGATTACAAGGATAATGTGCAGCTGTGTTGGTTGGGCTTGAAAACTTTTCAGATTGGCTCGGAGATTGTTTTGCTTCAACTGTCTTACATGAAAAAGAAATTTCCCTCATAAATCCATATCTGCAAGCATGTTTCCTTATCACGCATTATGTGTTTACCCACAAGGAAGAATAACACTGTTCTATTTCCTAGAAAGTCCAGATCGACAAGTTCATATAAACACTGGAACAAGTTGGTATGATCATCTCGTCGTATATGAGGGAGGAAAGAAACAATGAAATCATAGTGAATGAATTATATGTGGTGAGGCATAAGTTCATCTGCCCAAAAGTTAAACTTTTTTCCACATTGATTTAAATAGAGATAGTAGGAAAATTATATTTTTCAATTTTAAACTAGGTCTGTGAGCTCTATTAAGAAATTTCCAAACTTTCACTCCATCTCCTTGTGTCAGAAAAGGATTTTTGGATTCACTGCATCATTGCTAAAAGAAATTAGCAGATGCTGCTTTGTTTGGGGAAGGAGCATTTAGAATTTTTTAGAGTTTTAACAAAAAAAATATTACAGTTTTGAAGTCTTAATAATACTGGAATATCAGGCTTATTTAATAGCATTTAAATATCACAGAAAATAAACTCACAATATAAGAATCATATTCCCACAATGACTAACATAGAGTAATAAAATTTTTTTCTATTCTTCAATCTTCTAGTCAATTTACAACCTGAAATCAAGAAACTTGGATTGTAAGCTTGAACCTCTGATACTTCAAAGAGTGCTTTTCTACTTACCATCACTATAGCCTAAAGCATAAATGTAACCTAATTTTTCACTTTCTTTTGCTGAACTGGAAATACCAGAAATCACATACAGGTACCCAAACTCATAGGTATTTTGAGCGCAGGTGAACCTTAAATGTATATAGAAGTTGTGAAAGGATTACTTAATAAAAATTTCCATCTACAAAAAGCAACTTTGGGACATGCAAGTGAGTTCACATTCAAAAATGGTTTCAATTTTTCAAAAGGATCTCAAATTTTTATATCTCTTCAGAGTGAACAAGATTTATTGATTTTTTCCCTCAAAAATATTTTCCTATTTCTTCCTCTTTTAACTCAGTGAAGGATGTGAAAATCTACTACTTTACACATATATACATATACATATATGTGTGTATATATACATATTTACATAGATGCATTTTGTTATGTACATTCTTAGTTTCACTCTTCTTGCTGGATTTAATTTCAAAGTTGATGTTAATTCAATTTCTTATGGATTAAGACCCAGGTAAGATGGGATCAAAAAACTTATTTTTTCAATTAAACCATACTCTTGATTCTGTGGCTTTCTAGGTAAGTTAGAATTCAAAAATTGTATCCATTCCTTTTGCTGAAGACTAAATTTCTGTTACTCTGTTTCACATTATCTATGAAGGCTTTTATAGCCATACAAATTGAATAAAGAATTTTCTTGTTAACATCTCACCCAGAAATGACATTTTGTATTTTATTATTGCTCCATATGAAGAACGTCTGCAGAAAACCATAGAATCACAGAATAGTTTGGACTGGAAGGGACATTTGAAGACCATCTAGTCCAACCCTTCTGCAATGAACAAGGATATCTTCAACTACACCAGGTTTCTCAGGCTCCTACACCCCTCACATTAATGAAGACAGTTATTGAAAGTGTTACTATCCAGGCATAAATGAACCTTATTTCAGGTACATGCAAATAACTTTGCAGATAATAAACAGGAAATTTATAGCTGTTTTTCAGTCACAGATGCTACATTCTAATAGAGAAACAAAACTTGGTGAAGGTGTTCATGCTCAAGTTTTTAAATAAATTTCAGTTCAATTGCTGCAATGCAAAACTGTCTGTCTGTGGATTGTTACAGTAAAATACAGAGTAAAATATCTCATTCTTAGTACATCCAAACTGATTCTTACTCCAGTATTGCTGACATTTTCCACTGTCCAAGATTTGTAGATAGAAAAGGGTAAAAAGTTTTTATAAGAATAGCTATCATCAGGAGGATCAGAATTTGAACCCAAGACCTTTCCCTGGATAAAGAATGTATAAGTAACCAGATATCCAGGAACACTAGCTGTGGTACTGATCAAGATACCTCAGTAAAAGACTATCTGACAAAGTAACAATCATGTAGACAAGAGTCCAAGCTAGAAAGCACTTTATTGGGATATAATCAATAAGAAAATATTTTATTACATTCTAATGGGCATGTTCTTTTCAAGAAATCAACAAAAACCCAAGGTATGTGCAGCAGAAAATATTTTACAGGATTTGAAGCACTAGAAGTGATGACTTTGTTACAAGTTTTCTGCAAAAACAGCAGAATTTGTGTAAATAATTCACCAGAGTGCACAGAATAGATATGAGGAGAAGTCTATGCTCTTATAGTCCCAGCATTCATTGACTGTTTCTTAAGAGGGACTTTAATTAATGCTTACTGCCTTTTTCAAGCAGTAATGTCCTCTCCTACATGCCCTAGCTGGAGAAGCAAATGGTTTGCGACTGATTTTCAAGTGTTAGAACAAGTGACATCTGGTGTTGGTTTTTTCTAGTTCTGCAAATCAATTATATATATGCAGTCCATACTTGGATCCCAGAGATGCAATACAAGTGATTTATCAGCTGCAAATTTGTCTAAAAGTGCCACATAGCATGTTGGACATTGCTTCTAGAAATGAAACTCAGGTGTCTGATATTTAAAGGCTAAAAATCACTAGCTTGAATTCCTTCATGAACTGTTTCCCCTTACATTAATGAAAGCAAATAGTTATTTAAAAATTCATTATCCAGGCATATATGAACCTTATTTCAGGAAAAGCCAAGTTTTCTATGTGATTAGTTTGACACCACCCCCCGCTTCCTCCTCACACACAAATCTAAAGGCAAACACAGCCTATTCAGAGATTGAACTTTAGCTGACTCTTTTTTTTTTTCTTTTTTTTTTCTCCCAGTCATCATCCTCCAACTGCTTTGATGTTACAAGAGATTACATTGAGGTATGATTAGAAGGGATGCTGGAATTATGCCCACCTCTCCTCCCAGGATTTTTAAGAGAGATGTGAGTAGAACTTTCAGACTTTGGCTAAAGATAAAAGACTCCAAAAATATGAAGTGTGGAAACATGAAGGACTCACCACACTCTCTGTAATCAAGTAGAGCCCTCACAATTCTCTTCTGTGCAATATCTCACATTAGAACCTCCTCAAAGGAAACAAAATAGTTTATAAAAAGCACATTCAGTATCAGATGTCTAGATCTGTTTTGCAAATAATCTAGATAGTAAATGTTTTTGTTCAGTTCTCAACTGAGGTTAAAAATTTAAAAAAAACCAATTTAGAATACCTGTTTATTCATAAAAATAAGAATTTTTAGAATATTAGTGCATTTTTTGTTATCAAGTATCTTGTCATAAAACAGCACTTGAAATACAGTACCCTGCAGTGTGATGGTATGCATTATTCCTGAGGAGTAAATAACTCATACTCTTCCAATGCCATCCAGGAGCTGGAACAGAACCCTGTAAGCTGCAGGTCCCATGACCCCATCAAAAGTGTTTGCAGAAAGCAACTGCTGTCTTAATCTTTACCCACTCCTCATCTCTCACATTTCACAAAGTCAAGAGAAAAAAAAACCTTCTGAATGTCTTTACATTAGGAGATGATTTTGACTAAATATTGCAACCAGTAACAGAATTGCTGAACATCCCATTAACTAGCAAATGATTAAGTGCAACATTTAGGGAATTATTTTTTTATAGATAATAACAGTGCTAAAATTAAACTTTCCTCAGTCTATGAAAAAATTGTATTTATCCAATTACTACAAGATAAAAATCATTCTCACTAAGACTGTTGAGCAAGCAGCATTAATCCTGCATTTTGACCATCAGCCAATGTAAAAATTTGCTCAGATTTAACCTTCAATAATACTGTGGGACCTCTGTTTGGAACAAAATCAGAAAATAGTATCTAAATGTGATAATCTATTTTTAATTTGACAATTTTTTTTCCAGATCATCAAAAATGGTAGGATGTCAAGAGAAAATATCTGTTCTTCGTATTTTATGAGTGCTATGGATAAGTACAGAGTTTAAATTACTGCATAGGGTGCAGAGCAGTCATGCAGAAATGTTTTCCATGATAGACAGAGGTTTTCCTGTTTGATACCGCAGCACACATCTCAGCCAAAATTCCATAAGTATTTTCCCAAATAATTTCAAAGCAGTCCAGAGAGAATAGGGCTTGAACAAAGCTGAAACAATTCAGCTTTCTGAATTTCATATATAGCTCAACTGTTTATTTTCTGCATGATTTTGGCCAAGATCACAGGTATACACCAGGTTACTCACCAGAATGTCAAAGGACCATTCAAAGTAGGGAAACCAAGACTAATTAAGGTTAGATATTGATTTACATGCCTTCTTAACAACAGAGCTTTATAAATCTTTCACTTCAAACCCACTGTGAAGTTGTATGGTAATAAAAACTGGGTTCTTTAGAGTAATCTAGGGGAAAAGTTCTTAAAAATCTAAATTTTATCATGTCAAACTTTATTGAATATAGCCTCTAATTTATTTTCCTTTTTATTACCAAATGGAAACAACAAACACAAATTATCAAGATATTTCCAGCATAAAGCTGTATGTATTATTACTTAAATCAGCTAGAGCAGACTAAGACATACTTTCCTTTCTAAGGTCAGTCTTTGTTGCTTTAAATAAAAGGAAGACAGAAGATGAGCAAAATATTTGTAACAAAGAATGTTTAAATAACAGTTTTGTAAAAGTTATTTCATCCCACAGGTGTATATTTTTTACTAAAAACATGGATGATAGAAGTCCAGCAATTAAAAAGATTTGACAGTGAAAATTCTGTGGCTGCTCCACCCTGTCCTAAATGTTAAAATGAACAGTAGCAGGAAGGCATGTGTGCTCTTAGAACAATTTCTTCTTGTTTACAATTGCAGTAGGCTAAAATGACTCATCGTTCTGTACAAATAGAGAACTGTGTGCTCACAAAAAAATGTTTTGATACTATCTGAAAAGTTTCATTAAACTAGAATGTCAGAATGATATATTCAATTTCTTTGAATATAAATTTGTAAGTCATGGTGCCATCAAGAATGGAAAGATATACAATTTCTTGGAATTCTTTTTCATACTGATAACCTAGAGGACAGTATCTATTTTTATTTGCAACTGCTCAAAGGGCAGGGATTAAAAAACTTAAATTAAGATTATTGCAATATTTGTCCCACAGGAATTTCTGAAATAAAATATTTTCTAGGATTATAAAATTATATGTAGCATTTTAGAAAATGTTAAAAATTCTTATCACCATTAATTTCTCATTATACATTAATTTCTCCTTATATAATAAATATAGAGAGATTTTATGAAAGGTTCCTATATTAAAACAAGCTGTAAAGATATAACTTTTTTAAGCTTACTGTACTAACCATGAGCATGACAGTTTTAGTGATAATTCAAAGGCAGTAGAATAAGACAAGCACTTTGTGCTTGAAAATAATTCAGGAATTAATTGTTAAGAGTAATTCTGCTCAAGTTACATTTTGGCAAATATTATAATGTCTATACAAATACTACATATTTTCTCAGTTTTAAAAAATTGCTTTTCTCTTGCATTTAAAAACTACCATATATTTCAGTAAGTTATAAAATCAGTTGGAGAATAATGCATACAATACATAAACACAAACTTCAATATATATTAGAAAACATCCATTAAGAATTTAATATATTCTTCAGCCAGTGTTGAAACATAAGCTGACTTGAGTTGAAAAAAATTAGGTCAAGGGGTTTTAGACAAAGAATGAACTATGCTGCTTATCTAAAAATTCAGTGAAGTAAATAGAGGCTAAAATCTTTGTTTCAGGAATGGAAAATCAAACAGAAAGGAGACATATTGCTTCCTGTAAATATTCTCCATGAGCAAGCTACTAGAAAAGTAAATCCCGTGGACTTTAGCAAATATTTCAGGAAAGAGTATTTGTGTTTTGTGGTAGAGGAGAGCACCAACATAGAAGAGGGTTTTTGACTTTCTTTGAAGGTCACAAAAGGGACAGAGCCAGAGCCAAGGACTTTTAAAGAACAATATCCTGTCACATCAAAATCGAGTATCAAAACACACTAGAAAGTACAGACACAAAAGCGTTCACAGCAAGTTTGCCAGTAGTTTCTCTACTGACCCAAAAATTTCCATATAAATGAAGAATTACCTAAACAACCAAATCAGGTCTATTTTGAAAGCCATTTGGTATGAATGAAAATACTAACCCAGATCTGTTTGCAACCCCTCTGATGATGTTAAAGGTGCTCTTGTTTTGGTGTGCTTTCCATAATAGGAAAATACACAAACTAAAACAGTCCTTACCTCTGTGAAAATCAAACTTCACTGTACCCAGGAGTTGTAAAATTGCACCTTTATTTCTCACTGTATCTGAACCTACATGCAGGTACAAATTAGGGAAATTAAAATTTTAGTGGAAAGAATGAATGAACAGTTATTAGAGCCTCCTATTTTCACTAAGATTCATTTAATGAGTACAAATACTAATATTCCCATAGAACTTGTTTAGAATATGAAATTTAAGAAATTGAATGGGGTCAGAAGTGTTGGCTCTTTCCCTGTTTCCTGTCTTTTCTCCAGATTTGGCAGTGAAGTTCATTAAGTTCACAATAGAAATTTCTGCTACTTAACAACACATCTCATTATGAGAAAGATTTATAAAACCCATGCTGATTGTAGCAATGGGGGCTGTCTTATGGAAAAAGCAGTAGCTGGACAGGTAAGATTCCTAGAATTTCAGGCAGACTGTAAATGAGAGCAGAATGGGAAAAGACTCGTTAACTTCTCCATAGAAAGTCCCCTTCAGTCACTTTAACCTGTTACTGCTTGAAAAATCACATCAAAGATTATTTCAGGATTGTAGAAATGCTTTCTACAATTTTAGCCTCAAAAGAGGTGTTCAGATTCTCTGAGGCAAGTCACTAGAGTTTATTTGAACTACAAAACATCAATGAAAGCTGCTTGTTCAAGAAAACAAATTGTAATCAACTTTCATTGCTATTAAAACACATCTGTTTTGGCTACATGGAACCCAAATGAAATCCCATGTGAATTAATGTGTAAAACCAGCCAAGTTTAACAAGTGTTTATGACTTTCTGAAGTAAATGTCATAAAATGACTTTATCATTGCTTTGATTCCTGTTCCACACAGAAAAATTCCTTAGGATTTTGCAGATTAAATATGAGAAAATATACAGAATTTTAAACAAAATTTTAAACTAAATTTTAAGATGTGGTGTGCACCTCATTTTATCATAGATATGCATTCTACTTTGAAGAAACATCTTATCAGTTTATAAGAAGAATGGTGTGGATAAAATGCAATCACTTGGCCAACCATACCAATAACCCACCTTGAAAGACCTATTAATTTCAAATACAAATTAGAATAAGCACAAAAGGAACAACAGAGAAGGACACAGAACAGACACAGGAAAGAACTGGAAATCCTTAATTTAAATATTAACTCAGAAAGTTGATAGTTGATTTTATAACATCAAAAATATAAAAACCTTACGTAAAAAAACTTAATCTCTCTATTCTGCAAACCATACTGTTTCTTCAGAACATGTGTATATGTATTGGGAATTGGGGAAGAAAAGGCACAGATTTTTTAAGCAGGAAGGCTGTAGAAATATTACTTCCCTGGCCACTATCTGAAGAGTTCCACTCTGATCCTTAAATTTTTCCAGAGCTTATGAGGTTAGCAAAAACTGTTTGCAAAACTGAAGTTTTGTATTCAGTTGTCTATAAAGCTATTTGGAAGAAAAGATGAGTTTACTTGCACATTCTAAATTAATATAATAGCCTTTATATTTTTTAAGTCCCAGCTGGCTTGTCCCTCACTGTGATGCAGCACTAGGGCTTTGAGTTCCTTTTTTAAGCTAAGAAATTATCATTTAAAAAACACATTCTAAAAGCATTATTTATGGGTAGAATCAAGCACTTAACAATTAGGAACTGCTTGAATTTTCATTGTTTTTGACTGCATTATGATACAGCCTTTAACTACTACTACTACTACTACTACTAGTCTTTTCTTTGAACTCATTCTCGTCCCATATCACACTTATGAATTCCTGTGCAATGCTGACAAATCAATTAAACTGAGTGTTTCACAGACTGCCAGTAGAGCATGTTCTAGATGGCAAGCTTATTACATACTGGAAGTCATGTTTAAACATATGAAATGTTTAATGCCAAGTTCAGTGGAGAAATCATACCACTACCCATAGTAGCTCATAGAATTTAGTGTTGGCTTCCTTTTGCTGGCAAAACTGGCAACCAGAGTCTGAAGAGTGACTTACAGCACCAATTGTTATTTTGAATTGAGATCACCGAAGTCCTTCAAATCTGTGTCTCCCCTTTGTTAAACAAGGTGATAATGACTCCTTTTGCAGAGTTGTAGTGAAAATGAGTCATATCTGTGCGCTTCTGACAGAGTACTGAAAGCTGGAGTAAAAAGGTGGATGAGGGAATTAATCACTGTCTCTGAAAAGCAGAATTTGAATACTGCAAAATGTATGTGGTGCTGGACTGTTAACTGTCAGTTAATGAGGATTATTGTGGGTTTTTATCAAGACCTAAACAAAATGGGCACTGTTTTAAACTATGTTTTACAAGAATATTTCTGTAAAAATTATCCTAAAAACCACCTTTGCAATTTACTAAAATGTAAATTACTGTGATAAATAAAGCTTTAGTCATTTATTTACATACTTATTCATTTAACAAATTTAGGATTCACTTTCTTTCTGCTAAAGTGGAGCTTCAATTTGTTTCAGAGACTGAGGTCATGGAATGATGGTTCTGTGAGCATCACCAAACTTAACTCTGTCTAATGCCTATGAACCAGTGGCACCTATTAACAGTTCATACCCTTTACACCTTATTTCTAGATTACCAAGATTGACCTGGAAATTCTCAGTATGAGAAAAATAAATGAAGCCTCAGACCCAAATCTTCTAACATTTAAATCATAGATCCTCAAGAACTTGAAGCAATTGGAAAAAAAGTATGTTCATATCATAAAGAAGAGGTAAAAGAAGAAAAAAATATAAAATAACATTTTAAAATTGCTTTACACTACATAGAACATATAAATTCATTTAAGAAGAGGAATGAGAGATGTTTGTATATAGACTTTTGCACCAGCGGATGACCAGATTTCAAAAACGTAATGTGAAAGATGCCAAGCATGAAATCCCAACCTACTATTAAATAATAACACTGAAAGACCTGTCATTTATTTCACTGTGAACAGTTCTTTATTCCAGCTCCCAGCAGGAGTTTGATGAACAAAATTACTAATTTGCTCTGAGTTTATTCCACAAGTATCTAAGAAGGAAGAAGCATTGGGAAGAATTTTGCATCACTGTAGGTTTTCTTCTCTAAAGAAACGGGAACATTTTCATTGGAAGCAGCAGCAGCTAGTTTTGCATTCCAACAAAACCTGGAGATAAAACTCTACCTCCTGAAAAAGTGCTGTCTTGCATGTAAGTTAATTTATGGTTTATTACAATCGTAATAAGACTATTTACAAGGTTTGACTTGGAGGTCTGCCTCCTCTGTTAGACACTAGCGTGTCCATCCTTCCTGCTGGAACTGTGGTGATTCCATACAGGAAGGAATATAAAACTCAGAAGGTGAGAGGGAACCAAGGTACGCAACACAGAGTTCTGGATCTAAAACACCAGCAAGTAGCTACATAAAAGATATAGTGACATCTGCTCTTTGAGGTTTCCAAACTGTCCTTGGCAATTTTCTGCGATGTGATTTTTAAAAAGATATCCTTTCCCCTTTTACTTACAGTTTTATGTTTTATGCTTCATTCTCTGTAGTATCTTCTCTGCACCAAAAAAGGCAGTGTAGGCATTTCTTTTTATCACTATTAATGATTAGCAATTCAGAGAAAACTGTTATGTACATTCACCTTGATCTTTTAAAATGCTGCATATATACTATTTTTTGAGGACTTCCAGGCTTTCTTATCCTAACTTTCTAATTTCAAGGTACACCAAGAATTGAATATATTATCTGTCATGCTTTTAGCTACCTACTTTTAAAAAGTCTGCTTGTGCAATAACTGACCCAGGTCTCCAGGCAGCTCTTACATATGAAAATAATTTTGTCTTGACAAAGTAAAACCAAAAATCTCACTGCTTTATAAGCATAAAACATTTGGTGGATTAGCATCAAAGATCAGGTGGAATAGTTTTTACAGTTTTCTCAGTAGAAAGGATGGCCCATGCAGACCGACACTTTCTCCAGTAACAGAGAGAACATGACTCCTCTGGCTTTCTAAAGTCTGGGAAGGGTCTTAAAATCTTATCTCTAACACAGTCTCAGTAACTAAGACATTCATTGCAACTGATGCTGTCACAAAATGGGAGAAGGAACCCGTGAAATACTTTGCCAGGTTGGATGATTTTTTATAGGTCATACATACTCTTTTTACATATTTTACTTCTTTCTGCATGTCTTTCCCTATGTCTCTGTCTTTCTATATATTGTATACCCACTATGCTTTGGGTCCTCATCACAACAATTCCCTAGCACACTAAAAGCAACATTAGAATTTTCTCCTTAAACACAGATTATTTCCAACATTCAACTTTATAAATTCGACAACAAGTACAATCATGCAAACATAGAATAGTCCAAGTTGAAAGGTGGCTGTTAAAATAATCTGGTCTAAACTCTTGAAAGCAGAGATCTAGATTAGGTTACCCAGGGCTCTGTCAAGCCAAGCTCTTAATAACTCTTGTGAGGAACCATTTCTCTGAGCAACCTATTCCAGAGTTTAGTTGTTCTCATGGTGAAGAAAATCTTTCCTGTGCCCACAGGAATTCTTTTCTGAAGAACTTGTGCCTATTGACTCTTGTCCCACCCCTATGCATGCTTAAGAAGAAAGCCCCTCCTTCTCCAACACAGCTGCACTTTCAAGTATTGAAGGAGTGAAACTGCATCACCCCAAGCCTTCTTCTCTCCAGGCTGAAAAAACTCCATTCCTCTGATTTTCTTCTGAGGGATTTTTTTCACATGCTGTTCCACTATCCCACTGTCTTACTCAGGAATCTACAGTACCTACAGTAACGGATTGAACAACATTGCTTCTGAATGTGCATATTTAGAAAGTAAAGAATAATCACTTCAAAGCCTTCAAAAGCCATGTTCTTCTAACATACTTAACTCCCTAAAGCAACTTACAATTACTCACTTACTAGATCACCTTCCTTAATGAAAACAAAAATCAAATCTTCATAGTAAACAGCTTTAAATCTTGTCAAATCACAAATGAGTCAGACATGAGCTGTGTGTTAATACACACATGCACAGGAGAGAAGGGAAGAACGAAAGGCTGGACTCCAAGGGAATTGGCTCTGAATTATTTTTAAAGGTTTACGGTCCATGAAGACACCATGTGGAGTGATGCAGAATAACAGGCTTAGAAGTAAAGTACAATCAAAACTAGAGTGCACTTTTTTTTTGACACAGAAACAAACAGTCTATACTTTGAAGTAAGTGCAAAACAACCAAATAGTACAGGCACAGGAGAAGAGAGAGTTATGAAATTGTTTGGGTATTGTACTGCAGTATTGCAGTTAAAATAACAAATCCTTGCCTTGTCCTTTCTTTGCATGCCTGGATACACATTTGTAGCCTAATAGCTGCACACTAGTTTGGTAACTTGGATGTGGACTTTCTCAGCCACAGGATTTTAGGTTGTATTTAATATTTTAATTCCACTTCAGTTTTATTACAACTCATGTAATTTATTTGAATCTGATTTTGAGAATGGCTGCTTAAGTTATGAAAAATTGTCTCCTATGAAGTCCAGAGCATGAAGTAGATAACCCTGAAGGGAAACATGCCCCACATTTTTAACAAAGACTGACAGAAATTATCTGCTTTGAATCTTTATGTTTTTAAATGAACCGACAAAAACCAGAAATAGTTATAGAAGTGTCCACAAAGCTTTTCTTCAGTCAATAGCCACAGCACTATGTTTGTTCAGAATAATGAAAATTTTGCAAAATATGATTACAAATAAGAACTGAGCTATCATCTGAGATCCCATAATGTGGCAATTCATTAATTCTGTTGCCCTTAAACACACTTTAAACCACAATATTAAAATTTGAATGAGGAGCAGGCAACTCTTCATGTTAAGTGCAGAAAGTTGCAAAGAATGTCACAGCAACAGACCAAAATAAATGGATGCTCCAAGATGAAGACAACATCTGGAGACTCCCACACAGCCCCTTAGAAGCTTGGCAGCTCTCCCACTCCTATTTGCAGGGAGAATCAGGATGACAGATACATAGGATCAGGTACAGAATAAAAAACATATAATAAAATTTTAAAATACAATAAAATAGACAGGAAGAAGAATAATTGTTTTTTACAGATCTTCCAAATCTGTATCTCACGGAAACTAAGCATATAAAGAAAAAAATGTCAGCCTAAGAGTTATATATACAAATTTTTTAAACCCAAAATGGACAAACTGTAGCCAAATAGGAAAATACTGAAAAATGCAGCTGCAGAAGAATAAACAGACACAGAAAGGATAAAAATAGAGCCAGATTTTAAATTGTAAAAATAGAACCTATTATCTCCTTACCATTTAGTAAAGAGGCAAAATGTAGCTGTCATAGCCTAAACTCACAGGAAAAAGTAAAGGTTTAAAAACTCATCAAATCCAAACCCCTTGAAGAATTACCGGTGGGTTTTTTTTTTTTTTTTTTTTTTGGGGGGGGGCGGGTGGGGGGGAGAAGGGGGATGGTTTGTCCTGACAGACTTTAACAAAGATCATAAGATGGTATCTAACCAACATGAAACAGCTGGGAAAACAGGGTAACATTAAGCTATGAAAATTATGCAAGATTAAGCTGCAGGATAGACACAGATGATTCTGCATGTTAAGGTCCTGTAGGTTATATTTAGATAAAAGAGGGAAATATCACAGAACTTGTTTGCTTAAGGCATTACTCCTGATTAACATCAAGAAGCAGGTCTAAAATGAAGAAATCAGGCTGATGCTCTGTTGCTCTAATAGTGGTAGACTACTGGTGCTCATTGTGCATAATGAATATTATGATTATTACTAAAAGGCTGCAGGAATTCAATACTGATCATTGGGAACAAGTATGGCTGGTCCTTAAATTGATTTATTTCACTTTCAGCTTTTTTTCACAGATGTAATAATTTCATGCAAGCAACAGCAAACTCAAAGACACTGCAATCACCATGAATTCTCTTAAAGAGACAAGCAATGTCATAATCAGGCTATTTTCAGTAAATATACAGCATTTTTATCAGAAATGACAATGCTGTAGGAAAGAAGAAAAGAAGGGGTCTGAAGGGGCCTGGCAGCAGTATTAAGATGTTGCCATTTTTGTCACATTACTACCAATTAAAATATTTTCCCTTAAATTTTAAGTACTTCAATATTTTTCTTTCTTTCTTAAATGATCTCTTTTATGTTGCATCACATCATATTATGGTATTTGTCTCAGTAACATCCTGCAGAGGTGAACTCAACTGTGCAGTAAATCTGAGCTGATACAGACATTTGTTTACTTGGTCCACATGCACAAAAACTGTGCATGTCCCAAAAAAACAAAATTTTTAAAAAAGAGTAGATTGAAAAAAAAAAAAAAAAAAAAAAAAAAAAGCCTGTATTATCTTTACCTACACATTTTTTACACAGCAGATGCATTTTAAATGCTGTTTTATAGTGTCTTTAATTGTATTGAGGAATTCATGAAATGTGTTTTTCTCAATCTTCCTTGTTAATTAGTAAGCTTTGACATGAGATAGTTCTGCTCTCATTGACTCCACTGGGGGGAAATCCAAATTTACGTGTCTCCTCCACAAATTGCACCATACAAGTCTTTTCAAAATGTCTCTTCTCCAGAAATGAATTTTCTCCCACATCCTATATCTTCCCATGTTTATTCTCCCTTCTTGTACCTACAATTATGTCCTTTTTGGTGTGGGATGGGAAAGTGAGTTTAGTAGTTTGGTTATTCTA